AAAAATGAGAAATCAGAACATTACCTGGTTAAGTGCAATTGATTATAAAACGTAAAAAAGTCGCTTAATTAATAGAATAAATTGAGAGAATATTTGCACCGTCAATGTCTGTAAAGTTGAAGTTTAAGGTGCTCGAAAAAAGTTACTAATTGCAATTTTGAAAATATTGCAATGAAATTTGGGAAACTTTAGGAAAATAACGTATTTAATAAATGCCAAAAATGATTCTGCCTTTCTTAATTTTGGCACTACACCGAAGATAAGATATTAAAGTCAAAACATAACATGCCAGCCTAGATGTGAGTTCTAACAGGTGCCTGTGTCTGGCAGTTTTGACACCTGTTAACGTGTTTTTGATTTGACGATAATATTAGAACTGTGTCACTTTTACACTCGAAATTTGCAGGGCTGACCATTTATAATGTTTCAAAAATCTACGCAAACTTTCAGTTTGAAAACTTGTGAACTGTTGAAGTAATAGAACTTTGAAATAAGAAACATATTTTTTCGAGCCCCTGGATATGTGGGCCTGAGGCGATGTAAGTCACGAGGTCTCGTGATTAGATTTATCTTTATTTTAGCTCAAGGTAAAATGTTGAAGGATATATTGGCTGTCTATGGTACCAACCACCACAGGTACGTGGAGCCCGGCAGCAAAACAAGAACAAAACGTACCCTATCGTGTCTTCCCAGGTGGTTTAATTCAGTGCAACAGGGGAACTTGCCCGCAAGATGGAGCATCCCATTTCCTTTTTTTTACCAAAGTTAGTTTAGCACTTGTATACGTAAATAAAGATATTGAACTTACTGTACAAAAAGTCACCATTAAAAGTATCTCATTAAAAGTAGCTTTTCACCGAAAGTTGCTTACTTACATTGAGTTATAGAAAATATCCATCCCCAGTAGAAGAAGATAAAAACCTTTCCGGTGGTGTATGTTATTTTCATAGACAAGTTTAGTTGGATAAAATATTGAAGACTGCTTTTAGTTTTCCTCTGTATTTGGACTGTCATCTACGCATGTATTTCTGTGTTGATGTTAATAGGTAGTTTATTAAGCAGATTGAATGACTTACAACTGGGACACCAAGGCGTATATGTGTATTTGTCTGCTTTTTCCAGTGCAGGGAGCTTTTCTAGATAACTCGTAATTGTAGTAGTCGTCGAAGTTCCCTAATTAATTTTAACTTAATAGTTAATTAATGTGGTTTAACGCTTTGTGTGGCCTGTGCATGGGGCTTCCGAAAATAGGTTCAGATTTTTGTCACATTGAAATTCCGTTCATTAAGACCGTTTTATTATGACCTGGTGGAAGCAGCTTAATTCAATTTCTGGCATATTTTTTTCTGAATAGGTTACATTTGGTCTGCCTCCGTTACCTTTCCCTACAGATGGTCTATAGAATAAAAGCTTGGAGTTCGTCCAGTGTGCGAGTACGGTGCTTTCCTGTTCTAAATCTTGAGAAGGGTCATTTTTTTCTTATCATTTAGGTTTAGACCTGTGTCCAAAAAGTGTTTTGGACTGGAGGGGAGGTATGACACGCGGCAGTCTCATGATGCCATTTGTCTTTATTTTTGCTCAAGGTAAATGCTGTATGGCATATTAGCTGGCAAAAGTCCCATCTTCCACTCACGTCACTTGTCCGGCAGCAAAACCCTAATAGAATGGCCACTATGGTATCTTTTAACCCATTCAAGGATTTGAATTCGACATAAAAAGGGGCCTTAGTCAAAAGCTGACTGGAAATTAAATTCACTTTTTATTAACGCTCATACAGTATATTAGCCCATGCATGAGGATGCTGGGTTATTTATGGGGAGAATAATAAAATGAGATAAATATAATGCAACTGTCAATGTACTTCTGGAAAGTGCAATAAAATACATGGGTTAAGTGCCTCGCCCTACAGGTGATGCTATACACTGTATCTTCGAGGTAAAAAGGTAAAAAAGTTTCCGATTTGGGGTTTTCTCTAGCACCAGGGCAACCATAATGATGATCTAAAATACAATTTAAACTAATTAAAAGCACTAGACTGAGATGTCATAAATTTCTCTTAAATGACTTCCCTCTGAATCTGTCGGCTGTCGCGTGGAATTACTCCATAGTTTGATGGAAAGAGCAGTTCACTTCTTAAGTGCACATTTAGTGCACATTTACTTGTCAAGTAGGGTGATATCCGTGGTAATCTACTGGTGATATTGATATACCATGTACTTGAAACCAATGACCTATCTCTTCAGTCCGAAAGGTATTAAACGGCGACAGTTGTTAACTGACGTGTTACGCGTACTTCACGTTATGCAATACGCATAGCAATCACTGAGGCTACAATGTAGGCGATGGCTCTGCCCGCTACATGTACAGGCCTACCCAACTACCAGACTCGGCACCTAAGGATCCTGAATTAACCGGTATATCGGACCACACTACCCGTTTTCAAGGTGTGTGTCAGATCGCATTTCGGAGTATCAGCCAGAACACCGACAGGATGAGCCCTGACATGCTCGGCTGTCACCTTGATTGGATAGGAAACGATTGTCGTAAAATCGCTATATGATTTTAAAACCGGGTGCATAATTTTGAAAGCCACCTAGATGAACCTTAGACTGCCACATTAATCTAATACAATGCAAAAAAAGCCCTGTCAAAAGTGGTTAAAACATTCAAACCGAATGTCGTAAAGTCCCCATATATCCCCATAGAGACAATAAAATAGAGTACTCTAAAGTAAGAGTACAGTTTAAGGTTGTTCAGCCGAGCGTGGATGAGCCCGCAGTCGTGCTACAAAATTTGCTCTGGGGGATGATACTCCGAAATGCGATCTGACACACACCTTGAAAACGGGTAGCGTGGTCCGATATACCGGTTAATTCAGGATCCTTAGGTGCCGAGTCTGGTAGTTGGGTAGGCCTGATGTATATCAGTCCGATGATAAGACGACTAATTACATACGTCGTTGGTTACTTTTTTTGATCATTATAAACACATACATCTTCACCTGTAATACCCCACCCATAAAAACCAGGCTCATGCTTAAACAGCAATGATTAATCCCCCCTATTTCCTCCTTAATCAACAAAAATGTACCAGTGAAAATGCCTTTAAGTGACAATTTCTTTGTTTCACTGGATTATAAACATATTAAATTCTCGGTTTCAGAACAGCAACCTTTCTTCCCGGTAGATCAGACTGGTGTGTTTAACTACAGATAATGTGACGCTTGTTTGTTCAATATGTAGTTGATTTGACAAGCGTGGATATATATTATCTGTTTTATAATGAAAATTTAGGCAAATGACCAAATTAATGATGTCCTGAAGGTGTTCTAGCTACTACGACCACAGTGATATATTTTTTCATCTATAGATATTCACAGCTATACATATTTCTGACCGGTGAGGATTTCTGCACGGTGACTACAAATGTACGGCTAATGACATAGCAAAGTGCAGAGGCAATATCTAGCAAGGATGCAGCAGGATATATTATGGAACTGGGAGACCATGGATTAATTTCTGAAGCATAAATAACCTTGGGGAACATAAGTTTATTTTTCATTTGTTAATATTTTACATTGTAAGAGGAAAAGATAAATCTCATTTTGGAGTTACCAACTACGCATATGATCTTTTGAAGTGTGGTCGGCCTTATTTTAGTTGCTGGATCAGTTAATACTGGGATAAACTATTCTGAATGGTCCCTTGGTCATATTAGGGTCACTGACCTGGGTTTTATTATATAAATATAGATGATTGAGTGAGGTGATTCACTGCAACATGTCCACGGCCTCTGCCACACCCCCTTTAGCAGCCTTTTTTAGGACCCTTGCCATGACTTCTTAGTCTTATTTGACAAATTTCAAATCATTTGGCTACAAGATGTTGCTGCCATTGTTGATGTACATCCTCTGGGCCATAATCACTTGGTTCCTCGTGTCACAAATGCCTGCTGCTTCGAATATCTGTAATCTTCTTGATCCTCAGTCTGATCCATCCAAATCACTCTCATCTATGGAATTTTTCCACTCTAAGATATTTTGGATCTTTGTTTTTCTGAAATATTTCATTGTTCTGTTTTTGTTTGTTATATAATAATCTCATTAATATTGTAAGTGGAATTTACAGAGTATAAAATAAAATATAATGTGCAACATGGGCTAAATTGCAGAAATCTGGCGGGGTCGTTTAAAACCCCATTATTACTTTGTTTCTAGTATAAAAACCATAAACAAAGCTGCAAATATATCGACTGGAAGTATAAATAAAATGTGACAAATTCATTTAATTCAATGGAAAAAGTAATGCATTATAAAAATGATGCTATCAAATATGTGCCTAGTCGTAAACGAATACGGTTAACGTATAATAAAAAACTTACACGTCAACAAATTCAAAGTAACAGAGCAAGATAGAAAGAAGAAAGATATGTTATCATTCATGATGAGGTAATGGAAGATCTATAGGTAGAAAAGTTGTGAACTAGCTAAGGTCTATTATCAAACCATTTCCTAATTAGGGATTTACATTACTTTGATTGATAGCTTATCGGAAAATGAATAAGAATAGATCATTTGTCAATACATCACACCATCACTAAATAAGGGAATGCTGATAAATTGACGGAAATATTAGAATGGAAAGTTATGGAAAAACATAGAATGTGTGTGATGCATTATGAAATAAACTAAAATGCATAATTTTAAGATTGAAAAATCAGAATATACCAATAAACCTTTTGGACATCAAAGGAATGTAGCCCTTCTTACTATCTTAAAGTGATAAATTACATTACCGTTGATCTTAAACAGGTTAAGGGAAAGGCATGATATTAAACAGACGCCATTTTCATGTGACAAGTCAGATGACTTATCATCTGCTTGAGGACCCGAAATCAAACGTGAAAGAGATTTAATCTCAGTGCTCCAGGAAGCCTTATGTAAAGACCATATATCCAGGTTGTTAGAATGGAACGCCACGTGCAAGCCCCTCTATAAAAGACTTGGGTGTGGACCCGTAGTTCACTGTTAAGCCAACTCTTCACAGATCTCCCCACTGATCATAAAAAAGATGGTGCAAGTTACATGCGGCAAGTGGGCGGTGGCGGCTCTGTTGCTGGTCCTGGGCATGTCTATACGTAAGTGTTTATCATCACTAGTTAAAGTTTCCCAAATGATTCCTCGAAATTATAGCAATTGTATCCTACTCAAGGTTCAATTGTGGACCCGTCCCTACACGTGAATTCGATTTTTATATGATTTCTAATGAGAAAACTGTTCCTGAAGAGGACAACAATTCTTCATTTCGGCGGGAAAACTGCCATTAAACGGATTTTCCGGGATAAGCGACAAATTTCCCATAGTTACCAATGGCTAATAAGTCCGTCCTGATATTCAAAGTTAGCCAATCTTTTCAAAAGTATTTTTGTAATAATAAACTCTTAAAAACCTATGAAGGTCCACGTGGTCCGATGGCATGTGCATATTTCAGCATAACTGCGTTAATCGCCGTTTTGGTGCTAACTTGGAATTTATTACATGTATATTGTCATGTGTTGTTTACATAAATATAGATGATTGAGTGAGGTGAATCATTGCAACATGTCCACGGCCTCTGCCACACCCCCTTAAGCAGCCTCTTCTAGGACCCTTGCCATGACTTCTTAGTCTTATTTGACAAATTTCAAATCATTTGGTTACAAGATGTTGCTGCCATTGTTGATGTACATCCTCTGGGCCACACTTACATGCTTTTACTGTGGAATTTTGAATCTCAGCTGAAGAGTTGCTATCCCTTAAATGACTGACCAGTCATTTATATGAAACCGCCATGTTTTCTTTCAGAAGGAAATAGCAACATGTGTCATGTACCAGGAAGTCCGCCATGACAGAGAGTCCGGGACCAGATATTTTGGAAACCAGAGGTCCGTATCCCTGGTTTGTGAAATAACGGTTCCCGGAGTCTGACACATGGTAATTGGGTATGATATACAGGGTCCTCCGGACCCCTCATTTTACCGGACCCCACAGGCATATTTTGATACATATCCTATGGACATTATTAATGAAATACCGATATTTTTTGGTAGTTACACTACAGAAGCTTTTTTGGTATTTCAAAAATAAAAGTCAAAAATTATTATAATTTACATTTCAGAGAGCTACAATACTATTCTTGCTTATTTAGATAATTTTAGAATATTGATCAGCTGAAGAAAGTTAAAAAAATATATATAAATTACTTTGTTTCCAGCCCTAGATCTGATGCATTATCAAAACAAAATTACCACTTCACTTCTCATCAGACATCCATTTGTAATAAAACAGAAACGATTCTGATTTTTGTTTCAAAAATAAAATGAATGATAAAAGGAATAAATATGGAGCAGGAAGAGGAGAGCAGATATCATATCATGACAGTAACCCTGGTTTTCCTTCCCTAAATTTGAATTTTTATAAACTTTAAAAAATTTAAACTAAAATGTGAGAAACGGTTGCAAACAAAAATGTGCTGTATTGCGTTACAAAGAAGTATGTTAAAAGGCTGCATCAGTGATATAATTTTTAAGCCAGGGACACCTTTTCTCCTGAAAACTGTTAAAATGTGACAAATTCATGAAATTTCATGGACATTTATTCTAACAAATGTGCGCCTGGGGTAGTAAGCAACCCCACCCGTGTGAATAGGGTTAAGAGATCGGTGCCCACTGAACCATGTGTGCGTATACCCAGAGCAGGGACCTGTATCTCGAAAGCTTCGCTATGATGCGCACGTGCGCGAGCATGGCGAGCGTGCGCTATTTGCTAGTGCGATTGCACCCACCTGTTATCTCGAAGCCTTTGCAAACGCAACGCACTTATAACCTCAAACTCTACTAAAATTCGATTGCCGCATAAAGTGAAGACGTCATAACAGCGTTGAGGGTCTGCCGCTAGATGGCGTGGGGGTGAAAGCAGTCCTAAAATCTCGCAGAATCTCGCTCGCGTCTTTACACAAGAGTTTAACATGGAGCGTGGGCACTCGTCGCTGACTGTGAACCAACTCAAACGCAAATTACTTGAATGTGGTGCCATAACAACTGGAAGAACCTGGATTGATTGAAAGGTATGAGTTTTCTTTTCATTTAGTGCTTGAAAAACATGAATGCTAACTATTTTCCTTGAAAAAAATCAAAGATTAGTCTAGGTGTGTGTGAGTGTCAAATCTGTCATGTTACAGTATGTAGACTATGTGCGAGTACGCTCATATTTTGTTTAAGTAGCACGAAAGACGAAGATTTTTTATACTTAGTAAATGTACTTATTTATTTTCTTCATAAGGTTCTCCAAAGAAGGCCCATAATATTGGGGGCAAACTGTCAGTTTCAGGACCCCAGGCCAGCCAACTTCAGTAATAGAGCAGGATACAATGATTACTTCAGGAATCTTACCTATCACTTCACATCAGTGTCAAAGATTGTTGTAGCCACCAGATATGCCTAAACAAAATGTAATTTTTTTCACCATGACGCAAATCAAGAGGTTGTTTTTATTTATAGGAATATCATAATTACAAATACTGATATTTGAAGTATTTGACACCAATAAAATGTCAAAAAACAATTCAATAAGCGAAGCTTGGACTGACACAATTACTGACACATTGGTGAGTAGTGTTCAGTCTCAAAATAATAGACATTGAGGAAGGTCACGGTGCGACCGAATGCTTTGTTTCTGCTTTTTCATTTTTTGTAGAAAATGACACTTTTAAATTTATTATTATTATCAATAGACTACACAGATGAATTAAATTCACCAGAAAATATAAAAGGATGTATGAAATGTTTCATTTTGAAATTTTTCTGCATCATAAAACATGACTTTAGCATTCTTCACGTGAATATTTACCGCAAGTTTTTCTATCAGAGGTACCAGTGATTCAATCAATTAAAAGCTTCCATGTTTTTGTTATATGTTTTATTATATGCTATTGTGACTAGCAACCCAAACTTGCCACCATGTTTAATTACACGAAAGACACATTAAAATGAAGAATTATGGATACGCAGAGGCCTTTGCAACTAGTTTGTATCGCCGCAAATAATAGTCTCGAAACTAATGGTGATTTCGACATTAGCGCAAGGCCGGGATTTGCGAAGCTTTCGAGATATGGGATACCGCACGCTCGCCATGCTAGCGCACGTGCGCAACATAGCAAAGCTTTCGAGATACGGAGCCCAGAAATCTATTTGGTGTTTCATCTGAGTGACGATAAAAATGGCCGACATGTATAAACATGTATTAAAAGAGGCGAGCGCGTAAATCCAGATGCTGTGTTCAAGAAAAATAGTGTGGCAGATGACTAAACAAACAAAAAAAGAGTGCAACCAGTCAGTTAATTATTTTCCTTGATTAAACAGTTTAAATAAACGGCAGCGACAAAAATGATGAACTGCGGTCTTCTGAAAATTACATCCACGGTAGTTTACTTCAAATAATGTTGAGTGACACCATAAGCGTAATGCCAAGCCAATTACGTATTATGTATTAAGGAAAAAGTATGGCATGCGCAGATGAACAAGTCACATTAAATTGCTCTTGCTTAACAGTATTGCATTTGATAGCAATACTACTGTACTGCTTTTCCTTACATTACAGAATTTATGCGTTTCGTAATGACAAGCAATGTCACGTAAAGATATAATGCTTTTGCATCAAAAACTCATTGGCGTGAACTCATTCAAGCTGATGACCTTGCAGCAGCACCGTATATCATTCTGAATTTTATCTAAGACTTTTGTTTTGTTTTAGCTGGCAAAGCGCAAGAGAATTCGTGTGGTCAATATGGACGTTGTGCGCCACCATTAACCTTCCAGCTACCGAACTTATTTGGATGCTATTTTTATAACCTGTTCGTTTTTGGAGGATCCTGCAACACCCAACCTACTACCACTTGTCAGTGCGTTTGCCTGAATGGTTTTAGCCAGGACGCAGGTGGCAATTGTGTAGGTAAGTCGCTGATATCAGTTGAAACTGTCGTTAAAACAATAATAAAAACAAACGACTTTGGCCAATAGACGGTCTTTAAGACATTTGGCTCAATGTGCGCTTGTATTTTATACTAATGAAAGTGAGCAGAAGGAAGTAAACATTAAACCCAGTGAAGAAAAAAAAATGCATGTGTAAAAAAATAGACGGAATTTGTATCACAAGACACTACGTTTAGATGGTGTTCAGCAGAAAGACTTGGGACTTCTGTGATTTTTTCATTTTTCTTTAATTTAACAAACATTTTTAGATAAGGGGTTGTCTTGGAAGTTAAGCGATAGACTTTGTATTTCCTAAATTCGCCAGTAGTTTCAAATAATACATGAATATTTCTTATATATTTTTCAATAATTTTGTTCAATTTCCCATAGGTGTGGAATGTCGGTGGAGTGGGGGGATACTTTGAACTTTCACTGTCCATCTTCACAAGACTTTGATAAGAAGGTTCACTTGCGACGTAAATGACAGCTTATTTCTAAGTGACATTTCTAATTACGCGGGGATATACAGTTCATTTAATGATATACACAGACTGTAGTAGAAAGTGCAACATTCAATTCTTTTAATAATTTTCTTTCTTGTAGACATCAACGAATGTGCAGTAGGAATCCCATCCGGACTTGGTTCCAATTTACAAGTTTGCGTAGGTGACATCTGTGTTAACACCGTTGGAGGCTACTATTGTACCCCTGATCTAGACGAGTGTACCTTAGGTACAAACAATTGTGCAGAAAATGCCACATGTACAAATACTGTTGGCAGTTTCAGTTGTTCTTGTTTGCCTGGCTTCAGTGGTAATGGCACAGCTTGTGATAATGTAGACGAGTGTTCCTTGGGTACAGACAACTGTGCAGAAAATGCCACGTGTACAGACACAGTTGGCAGTTTCAGTTGTTCTTGTTTACCTGGCTTCACTGGTGACGGCACAACATGTAATGACGTGGACGAGTGTTCCTTGGGTACAGACAACTGTGCAGAAAATGCCACATGTACAAACACTGTTGGCAGTTTCAGTTGTTCTTGTTTACCTGGCTTCACTGGTGATGGCATAAAATGTAATGATCTGGACGAGTGTTCCTTGGGTACAGATAATTGTGCAGAAAATGCCACATGCAAAGACACCGTTGGCAGTTTCAGTTGTTCATGCTTGCCTGGCTTCACTGGTAACGGCACAACATGTAATGACGTGGACGAGTGTTCCTTGGGTACTGACAACTGTGCAGAAAATGCCACATGTACAGACACTGTTGGCAGTTTCAGTTGTTCTTGTTTACCTGGTTTCACTGGTAATGGCACAAAATGTAATAATTTGGACGAGTGTTCCTTGGGTACAGACAACTGTGCAGAAAATGCCACGTGTACAGACACAGTTGGCAGTTTCAGTTGTTCTTGTTTACCTGGCTTCACTGGTGATGGCATAAAATGTAATGATCTGGACGAGTGTTCCTTGGGTAGAGATAATTGTGCAGAAAATGCCACATGTACAGAAGCTGTTGGCAGTTTCAGTTGTTCTTGTTTAGCTGGCTTCACTGGTGAAGGCACAACATGTGCTAATTTGGACGAGTGTTCCTTGGGTAGAGATAATTGTGCAGAAAATGCCACATGTACAGACACTGTTGGCAGTTTCAGTTGTTCTTGTTTAGCTGGCTTCACTGGTGATGGCACAACATGTGCTAATTTGGACGAGTGTTCTTTGGGTACTGACAACTGTGCAGAAAATGCCACATGTACAGACACTGTTGGCAGTTTCAGTTGTTCTTGTTTAGCTGGCTTCACTGGTGATGGTACAACATGTGCTAATTTGGACGAGTGTTCTTTGGGTACTGACAACTGCGCAGAAAATGCCACATGTACAGACACTGTTGGCAGTTTCAGTTGTTCTTGTTTACCATTTTTCACCGGAGATGGTATAACATGTGTTGATACTAGAAGTAAGTAATACATTTCCTTTTTAGATGCATAACTTGAAGCAAAATTAAAACGAAAAATATAAAAAAGCCCAACCGAAAGCTTTCCATTAACCGCAAAAGGCTGTTTCATTACTCTCAGTGCTTTACCATTATAAGATGCATTTGTTTATTTGTAAAACATAATTTACATGTTTTACTATAGATGAAAATACGTGCCAAATAGTAATTTTTATATTAATATCTTGTAATACACAGTGCACTAATATCAATAAATGAACAAATACCAATATTATGTTATACTAAATTTTTCCCACGTGTCTATTTTACTAGCTTGCCCAGGAGGTCCACCTGGAAGCGAATTCTGGGTAAAATCAAGCGATGGTACCAAATGTTTCCAGTTCTTTAGTGATCAATTAGATTATGCCAGTGCCAAGACGCAATGTAGTACAAATGTCACAGGAAGCACACTGGCTATCATACTGAGCGAATCTCAAAATTCTGACGTAGAGGGCCTCATTCCAAATGTGTAGGTTTTTAGTGTCTTTTAGTATGTTTCTATTATACCATTGCACCATGTTCTTATTTCGTGTTACTAGCAGTGATGTGATGTTTGTTACACTTGTATAATAATTTTGTTTTTGTCATAATACATGTGTTGCTACATGTCGTTATCTTGGTATAAATTGTAAAATGTAATATGGGCCGGTGGCCTAAATTACTGGAATAAATTATTATTATTATTAGAAACCTCCTGACGCATTGCAGAGAGAGAGAGAGAGAGAGAGAGAGAGAGAGAGAGAGGCCAAATGTCGTAAAATTTTCCTTTGAATAATGTTAAACCGTGAACCAGTTGAGACAGGGTATTTTGACATATGTTAATATACCTGCATGTTTTTTTATTGTGTGTTAATGATAGTATTGCTGTCACAACTTTCTTTCACCAATACATTTCTCTACCCACAAAACAACACTGAATGGGGTACGAGTAATTATTCTTGTACATGGTTTTCAGAACAACTTCTGTCAAAAATTGGATTGGATTGGAACAGTCAACCCCTGGTACTTGGGCGTGGTTGGACGGCTCCTCAACTGCAGGGTACATTAATTGGGACGGTAACAACGGCGGGACGGCACCCTCGAATGCTGATAAAGCTTGCGGTGCTATAAACAACAAACAAATTAAAAAGTGGAAGGAGCAAACATGTTCCGAACCAGGACAGTATATTTGTGAGGTGATCCTTCCTTAAACTGGTACGATATCATATACACGTAATCATGTTGTATGTGGACGCATATTAATCGGACGCACTTTTTGAATTATAGTTTTCGTTTAATTCTTTGTTAACCGGTGTTATTCTATAACGCATATACCCGTATGTATTGATGTTAAAATAATTGGAATATCAAACTTAATTGTACACTCAAGATTTAAAACGTTCATTCCCTTTTAGAACCTTTTTTATTTATTCCCATCATTTTTCTTTATGTACAATGTCACACGAAAATATTACATCATATTTTTAATTTTTGCTCAAATCTTATATTAATGACTATTTTGTGCATGTCTTAAAATATTGCTAATAGTAGAAGTTGCGTACGTCAATAAACACACTCATAAGTATGTAGTCTTCTGAACAGTGAGAGCCCACATTTGTGGTTATGTCGGAAGGTCAGTGAATAAGCAAACAATAAGCAAACTGACACGCCTCGACTTATCTTTTCAAAACTCTGCATTTCCCTTTTTATCAGTTTGGTATCCAGTGGATTCACAAGAAAACACGTCATTGGTTTATGTAAATTAACTTATTTCCATATAACGTGGCATAATGTATTTTGAAATTCAACACATTGTTTTGCCTTTAACTGAACAATAAATACCCGAAGCCACATATTGGGCACGTGTTTTACTCTTCATTTTCAGAACTCCATATTAGTGAGATTTCTCTTTAACAGCCTATATATATATGTGTTGTACTGGCCTCTTCANCATGCAAAGATACCGTTGGCAGTTTCAGTTGTTCGTGCTTGCCTGGCTTCACTGGTGACGGCCAAACATGTAATGATGTGGACGAGTGTTCCTTGGGTACTGACAACTGTGCAGAAAATGCCACATGTACAGACACAGTTGGCAGTTTCAGTTGTTCTTGTTTACCATTTTTCACCGGAGATGGTATAACATGTGTTGATACTAGAAGTAAGTAATACATTTCCTTTTTAGACGCATAACTTGAAGCAAAATTAAAACGAAAAATATAAAAAAGCCCAACCGAAAGCTTTCCATTAACCGCAAAAGGCTGTTACATTACTCTCAGTGCTTTACCATTATAAGATGCATTTGTTTATTTGTAAAACATAATTTACATGTTTTACTATAGATGAAAATACGTGCCAAATAGTAATTTTTATATTAATATCTTGTAATACACAGTGCACTAATATCAATAAATGAACAAATACCAATATTATGTTATACTAAATTTTTCCCACGTGTCTATTTTACTAGCTTGCCCAGGAGGTCCACCTGGAAGTGAATTCTGGGTAAAATCAAGCGATGGTACCAAATGTTTCCAGTTCTTTAGTGACCAATTAGATTATGCCGGTGCCAAGGCACAATGTGTTACAAATGTTACAGGAAGCACACTGGCTATCATACTGAGCGAATCTCAAAATTCTGACGTAGAGGGCCTCATTCCAGATGTGTAGGTTTTTAGTGTCTTTTAGTATGTTTCTATTATACCATTGCACCATGTTCTTATTTCGTGTTACTAGCAGTGATGTGATGTTTGTTACACTTGTATAATAATTTTGTTTTTGTCATAATACATGTGTTGCTACATGTTGTTATCTTGGTATAAAGTGTCAAATGTAATATGGGCCGGTGGCCTAAATTACTGGAATAAATTATTATTATTATTAGAAACCTCCTGACGCATTGCAGAGAGAGAGAGAGAGAGAGAGAGAGAGAGAGGCCAAATGTCGTAAAATTTTCCTTTGAATAATGTTAAACCGTGAACCAGTTGAGACAGGGTATTTTGACATATGTTAATATACCTGCATGTTTTTTTATTGTGTGTTAATGATAGTATTGCTGTCACAACTTTCTTTCACCAATACATTTCTCTACCCACAAAACAACACTGAATGGGGTACGAGTAATTATTCTTGTACATGGTTTTCAGAACAACTTCCGTCAAAAATTGGATTGGATTGGAACAGTCAACCCCTGGTACTTGGGCCTGGTTGGACAGCACCTCAACTGCAGGGTACATTAATTGGGACGGTAACAACGGCGGGACGGCACCCTCGAATGCTGATAAAGCTTGCGGTGCTATAAACAACAAACAAATTAAAAAGTGGAAGGAGCAAACATGTTCCGAACCAGGACAGTATATTTGTGAGGTGATCCTTCCTTAAACTGGTACGATATCATATACACGTAATCATGTTGTATGTGGACGCATATTAATCGGACGCACTTTTTGAATTATAGTTTTCGTTTAATTCTTTGTTAACCGGTGTTATTCTATAACGCATACTCGTATGTATTGATGTTAAAATAATTGGAATATCAAACTTAATTGTACACTCAAGATTTAAAACGTTCATTCCCTTTTAGAACCTTTTTTATTTATTCCCATCATTTTTCTTTATGTACAATGTCACACGAAAATATTACATCATATTTTTAATTTTTGCTCAAATCTTATATTAATGACTATTTTGTGCATGTCTTAAAATATTGCTAATAGTAGAAGTTGCGTACGTCAATAAACACACTCATAAGTATGTAGTCTTCTGAACAGTGAGAGCCCACATTTGTGGTTATGTCGGAAGGTCAGTGAATAAGCAAACAATAAGCAAACCGACACGCCTCGACTTATCTTTTCAAAACTCTGCATTTCCCTATTTATCAGTTTGGTATCCAGTGGATTCACAAGAAAACACGTCATTGGTTTATGTAAATTAACTTTTTTCCATATAACGTGGCATAATGTATTTTGAAATTCAACACATTGTTTTGCCTTTAACTGAACAATAAATACCCGAAGCCACATATTGGGCACGTGTTTTACTCTTCATTTTCAGAACTCCATATTAGTGAGATTTCTCTTTAACAGCCTATATATATGTGTTGTACTGGCCTCTTTGGAGTGCAGGTACCCTCCTCACCAGTGTACATGTAGAGGAAACTGTTACTGTCTGAAACACATCATTGCAGTTTGTAGATATTTAAAGGGATAATAACTCTTTGTTTTGGCCAAAAAATGAATTTTCCTGGAGTAAGCAACAATTTTCCCGTACTTACCAATGGTTAATGAATCTGTTTTTACATTCAAAGTTAGTCCCTGTTTTTTTTTTATAATCTCTTAAGAGATTAAAACAGAGTATAGCCATCAATGGAGGTCACATGGTCTAAAGACTAGCTCAGATATCAGAATAACCGCTATAACTGCCGTTTTTCTTGTACAACAAAACATATTTTATTTCTATGAGCTGTTCACAATGTTTTACTGTGAAATATAGATCTCATACAAAGATTTATTATCCCTTCTTGTCTTGGCATCGATAGCAAATACTGACCCGACGGTTTTCATATCATATCATATCAGAACAGAACAGAACAGAAAGGAGCGCTCTTGCTTCACCGAGGTCCAAAGTCGGGTGATTTATCAAAGTTGAAATGATGACGTCATTGCACATTAATTCAAGATGTAAACGTATACACTTCAACGTTGATAATGTGCAGTCATCCAAATATTTATATATCGTATTTATTCAAACTGAAAAATCTTCTTCGTTGAAGGCTTATATAATTAAATTAATACCGCCCTGCGACCTTACTACGCCCGCTGCCACCACGGGATGAAAAGAAATACTCGTACAAATATCAGCTTCTTTCTGCTTTTGTCTCATAATAACGTTTACGCAACACAAACAAATTCAACTTAGTTTGTTTACTCAGTTTTGGTCCTCGATGACTTCGAAGGCATAAAAGCCGAAAGCTTGGGCCTTTTTATTTTTTGAATAATTGATCAGTATACACATACAGGTAAATACCATTTAGTGTTAATTTGTTAAACACAACATGTTCAACTCTTATGGTCCTTTTGAACCTTATCTTTAAGAACTGATTCTTTAAGAACTATCAGTCTTTCTGTGCAAATAAAAAAGGGAAAAAAGCGTAAATTTCCCTTACGCGAACGTTAAGGCCACGTTTAAAACTGCTAGAAATATCGATTCTAGCATGTAAGCCTTTATGCATCTTACTCTTATTCAAATTTTATATGAGTGAGGGAGAATTAAAAACGAATAAAATGAAGATAAAAAGCTACACCGCAGTCGGTCGGTTTATGGCAGTATACTATTGCCTAATGGATGGTTACTTTAAGACTTGAGTAGAGGGCACATGTTTTTATTAGCAAAAATATAAATGTATCAACACTGCAACGGTTAAGTAGAAAATTCAGGCATTCAGGGAGCGCAGACCTCCACTAAGGCAGCAAAGTCTCCATCCAATGCCGTTTCACCCCTAAATGTTCGATATTTTTTATTATTGATTGATTATTGATCCGGATCATCACCAAAAACTAATCATCCGTTCCCTGGTACACTTCTGACAGTTCCTGAAAATTTCATCAAAATAGGTCCATAACTTAGTTTTTTATTATTGATTGTTGATTGATTATTGATCCGGATCACCACCAAAAACTAATCGTCTGTTCCTTGGCCCTGCACTTCTAACAGTTCCTGAAAATTTCATCAAAATAGGTCCATTATAATTTTTGAATTATGTTGATGACAGACAGACAAACAAACAAACAGGGGTGAAAACATAACCTCCATGGCGGAGGTAATAATCCATGGCAGAACTGGGCAAACTACGGCAATACTTCCATTCCTTTGATATGTCAACCCGTGCAATTTCGCAGCGGAAGTACTCTACACGCTTAACATTACCGTCGCGTTTTTGTATTTATTTAAAGTGTACTTCGGATATACGCTTTTTACATGTATCATAGGATGTGCAAACTATTGAGACAGAACTTTTTTTATATATAAGAGATAAAGGTTACATAAAACGAACAAGTCACATGTTCAGAATCATATATCAGCGCACGGCCACACTATACTCTCCGATTGGATAATATTAATGCAAAATGCATGACGCACCACAATGTAGCGATGTGTGACATGTACAACAGAGCACACACCCCCCGTCAAAGATAAAATTGAATAAATAAATAAACAGAATAAATAAAAAAATAACTGACTGTGAATTATGATTTCACTTACTTACATAGGTGTGACAAAAGCATTGCTAGGTTTGTTTTGATTTGTTAGGTTTTCAATTAGTATTTTATTGAAAACTACAGACTTGACATTTAATATGGAATATTTCAGTTTCGAAGGTATGCGTAGGTAAAATNGGATCTTAATATAATGAATAAACCAGAGTTGAATGATTTTTTTTATCAAAACACTTTCAGGCTTTAAAAAGTACAACCTGGCCATAGGCCAGTACTTCATTGTAAATATTTATCCAATTAAAAAAAAATCTTGTTTTATTTATAACTAGATCTAGCAATATCTTTCTATATCGGTCAAAATTCACACTTGATTTCTTGTGGAGTGGATCATAACTATACAATTTTTGATGTTTTAAGAATGAAGCATATAACTCTTGGAATATTTCTGATGTTAGATGCACAGCACTTCGTATTTTAATTTTATTGATTTTATTGTTTGCTCTGATATTCAGAATATTTAAGAAAACTTGTAGTCTTGCCAAGTCGGGTCAGTGCTTCAGGTTGGTCACGTGACGCTATAAATTATGATGAAAATGGGGTTCCATTTTTGTCGTCGTTTTGGAGATGCACTAATTTCCCCACACAAATGGGTAAAAATTGTAGGAGATATACCTTATGATATATCATTTGAAAGTTTATGATCTTATCTTTCTGCAGGATGTAATTGTTTGAAAATATTTTGCGTTTCCTGCGATACATAATCACAGTAACTTACTGCACTTGAAAAAATCGATTTTGCCGACTTTTACACCGACTTCACGGGAATATGAACACTTTGCCAACGAGGTGGGACCCAAACGCAACATGTGTTTCATATCAACACAAAGCACACTTGTTTACCTTTTAGAATATATATAAAAAGCTGGTGATTTCAACATTGTAGCAATTTTGTTTAAATTGAAACACCCTAGTGTTACACGCTTCAAAAATGCGAGTGCTTGGCGACGAGTTCACCTCGCGCTAAAAAAAATGGACAAAGCTGAATTTTCAATATATATATACTGCCAGAGACCCAGTTTAACCAGTTTTCATGATTTAGTTTTTAAAACTTTGTACAATTTAAACTTCTTATAGAGATCTTCAAAAAGAAAATTTCGGACACCTGAAACGGGGCACCATTTGCAATCACCCGCGTGGATAAATCTTCCATTTTACCGTTCTGAATCTATTTTTTATGACAACTAACCTTAAGATTCCGAATCCCTAGATATCCCCGCTTCTTTTTATATATCTAACGTTTAATCACATCAACTGTTGACAAAATTACACATGAAAATACGAAGAGCTCAAAAGTCGTCCATTTTCACTCGATTTTGCTGAAAGTAGTGCGAAAATGGCCGTCGCTTCAGACAGTGTGCACGCGCAGCTCGGAATCTGCGGACATACTGCTTTGGAGTTCAGGTACCCTCCTCACCAGTGTACATGTAGAGGAAACTGTTACTGTCTGAAACACATCATTGCAGTTTGTAGATATTTAAAGGGATAATAACTCTTTGTTTTGGCCCAAAAATGAATTTTCCTGGAGAAGCAACAAGTTTCCCGTACTTATTACCAATAGTGAATGAATCCATTTTTACATTCAAAGTTAGTCCCTGTTTTTTTTTCTAAAAAGTTTTTTTTTGTTATAATCTCTTAATTAGAGATTATAACAGAGTATAGCCATCAATGGAGGTCACACTGTCTAAAGACTAGCTCAGATATCAGAATAACACCTATAACTGTTTTTTTTTTTTTGTACAACAGAATATATTTTATTTCTATGAGCTGTTCACAATGTTTTACTGTGAAATATAGATCTCATACAAAGAGTTATTATCCATTTAAGTCTTGGCATCGATAGCAAATACTGACCCGACGGTTTTCATATCATATCATATCATATCATAACAGAACAGAACAGAAAGGAGCGCTCTTGCTTCACCGAGGTCCAAAGTCGGGTGATTTATCAAAGTTGAAATGATGACGTCATTGCACATTTTAATTAAAATTCAAGATGTAAACGTATACACTTCAACGATGATAATGTGCAGTCGTCAAAAGATTCTTTAAATGAAGAATATGAACTTCATGTTTAATTATATATCTATATATTTATATATCATATTTATTCAAACTGAAAAATCTTCTTCGTTGAAGGCTTATATAATTAAATTAATACCGCCCTGCGACATTACTACGCCCGCTGCCACCACGGGATGAAAAGAAATACTCGTACAAATATCAGCTTCTTTCTGCTTTCGTCTCATATTAACGTTTACGCAACACAAACAAATTCAACTTAGTTTGTTTACTCAGTTTTGGTCCTCGATGAATTCGAAGGCATAAAAGCCGAAAGCTTGGGCCTTTTAATTTTTTGAATAATTGATCAATATACATATAGATACCATTTAGTGTTAATTTGTTAAACACAATATGTTCAAGTCTTATGAACCTTATGAACCTTATCTTTAAGAACTGATTCTTTAAGAACTATCAGTCTTTCTGTGCAAATAAAAAAGGGAAAAAAGCGTAAATTTTCCTTACGCGAACGTTCAGGCCACGTTTAAAACTGCTAGAAATATCGATTCTAGAAATGTAAGCTTTTATGCATCTTTTCTCTTATTCAAATTTTATATGAGTGAGGCAGAATTAAAAACGAATAAAATGAAGATAAAAAAGCTATGCCGCAGTCGGTCGGTTTACGGCAGTATACTATTGCCTAATGGATGGTTACTTAAAGCCTTGAGTTGAGGGCACATTTTTTTCGCAAAAATGTAAATGTATCAACATTACAACGGTTAACTAGAAAAGCATTCAGGGAGCGCAGACCTCCGCCTAGGCAGCAAAGTTATTGATCAGGATCATCACCAAAAACTAATCATCTGTTCCTTGGTACACTTCTGAAAGTTCCTGAAAATTTCAGCAAAATCGGTCCACAACTTAGTTTTTTTATTATTGATTGTTGATTGATTATTGATCCGGATCACCACCAAAAACTAATCATCTGTTCCTTGGCCCACTTCTGACAGTTCCTGAAAATTTCATCAAAATAGGTCCATTATAATTTTTGAGTTATGTTGATGACAGACAGACAAACAAACAAACAGGGGTGAAAACATAACCTCCATGGCGGAGGTAATAATCCGTGGCAGAACTGGGCAAACTGCCTAGACGGCAATACTTCCATTCCCTTGATATGTCAACCCGTGCAATTTCGCAGCGGGAGTACTCTACACGCTTAACATAACCGTCGCGTTTTTGTATTTATTTTAAAGTGTACTTCGGATATACGCTTTTTACATGTATCATAAGAGTAAAAAGGATGTGCAAAATATTGAGACAGAACTTTTTTATATATAAGAGATAAAGGTTACATAAAACGAACAAGTCACATGTTCAGAATCATATAGCAGCGCACGGACACACTATACTCTCCAATTGGATAATATTTTAATATTAAAATTAAAATGCAACATGCATGACGCACCACAATGTAGCGATGTGTGACATGTACAACAGAGCACACACCCCCCGTCAAAGATAAAATTGAATAAATAAATAAATAGAATAAATAAAAAAATAACTGACTGTGAATTATGATTTCACTTACTTACATAGGTGTGACAAAAGCATTGCTAGGTTTGTTTTGATTTGTTAGGTTTTCAATTAGTATTTTATTGAAAACTAGTTGTCAACCCAGTATCTCTGCTATAAGTTTACAAACCATTCTTTGGCCTTACATACGGCATGATAATACACTGTATGTCAGTATTGATATTGTATATGATATCCACATGATCTAAATATGACAAACATCCTTCTGGACATAGACTTAAAAAATGTTCAGTGATCGTATGTGGGGTACGTTGTTTCAGGTTTTAAGAATTGGATTAGACTGGGTTCTCATACCTAGATCGATCTAACAGGATCGGTCCACCTCCGGGGTGCTTCTCGTTAAATTGCTTTCAGCTTAAGCGTCTTAAAATCAACACTTTTGTCACCCCTTGTGCATGACATTTGTGGGTATTTTAGACAGTAACGTAAATTCATTATATTTAAGCAAACAATGGAGAGTGACAAATGACAAGAAGGGGGCAGCTTCAGGGGAAATCAAGATTAGTTGGACATTTATTTGTATCTTCAGGGCAAGCCCCTGCGATCCACGGTTTAGGTGGGTCAAATTTTGTTATCCAATCAGTCTGAAATCCGGAGTCATGCGCCAGAGAATCCCGCGTGACAGTGAGTCATGTTGTTATTGATTTGTACAGTTCCTTTAAACCGGTATTCATGTGGCTGTACTTTTTTCTAGTCAGTGATGACGTAACGATCAGTGAATCCTTCAAGTATTTTGGTAGACAGATACATTCCTGTGTCTTTATTTTTATTGTGCACTTTTCTCATATCTGCGTTTTTAATTCCCTGCTTTCAGATAATACGTTCATCTTTTTCTATTTTCGGTTTTATAGTAGTTCTTTCTTTTTTCTTTTGTTTTATTCGTAGGTACAAAACACACGATAAGCTGTCATTAATTCTGCAAAATGTCGCTTGATTTGATTCGCCACACGGTGCCCATTGGTTTTTACCTTACCTTCAATGACAGACGCCAGCCTAGTTTTTTTCAAGCGCCATCGCCTGGGTCCCCTAAGGTACTAAGCACAGTGCCTTCATTGTATATAAACACACTTTGGCACATCCAATTTTTCATTCTCTTTTCTTATAGTCGATCGGAACAGATCCCTTTCTCTGGTACTACACATGTACAATTGATTTCTACAACCCGTTCGCCTTCTGTTTTTTATGTTTACTAAGGCTCTCTCGTTTTTTACGATAGGAAAGTTTGTAGTTTACGAAATAGACCCCCATTTCATGTACTATTTCTCTTGTTAAAATCTGACAGTTTTTTAATCCCACAACAGAATTTTGCCGCTTGGTGAATTGACATAATGCTAAAGTTTGTCTCAGGGATAGAGAGTAGCTGTTACAAAACTGACTGTCTTTCACCCAATTCTGTATCAGCTAAAAGGGACTGAGAAATCCATGGCGAAGTGTACATATCTTCTGAACTCTACTCACATTTTTTGTATAGGTTCTCCACAAATGAGTTTTCTTTTGAAAAAACATAAAATATGTCATTGACTGAAGGTCAACATAAACATAGTTTCGCGGTTCCATATATCATTATTATAGCTTTTTTAAAATGCTATAGGCTATAGTTGGTAAGAAACCCACCCGTCACGAGTGTAACGTGCCTCAAGGTACTGTCCCACATATCAACAGATACACACAAGGTGTATGTTAGACCTACGTCGTTTAAGTCTTGAGAACGCATGGAAACACTGGTGTACGTTCGGATACGTAGAGGGAGGTTACATGTATGAGCATGTTCAAAATTTTTTTGTGCTTCCTATTCGTTTATTTTCAAACCCCGACAAAAGGTGATGCCATACGCTAAAAGCTGCCGTCAGTATCGCCTCTAACAAATCTAGACGACTGAATTCTGATCACAAAGAAACTTCATCAATTAGTATTATATCACATCTTAAGTGACATCCAAGCTCGTGGCTATGAACAGGGCACTGGCTTATTCCTGTATGTAATTATAATTTTTGATCACGCCTTCACTTAGCGGTCACACATGTACTAGGAGACTTTTGCACTGAACAAGGCTCTAGAAAGCTAGTGGCCGAAAATGTCATCATAAAGATAACCATCGTATATGTGCCAATCATTTTGATTTGAGAAAAATAACTCTTCTTGAAAACATTTTTTCGGCATTGCACTTATTAGAACAGCGTTTTTTATTTACAGTTGGAAAAATGTAAATGAACTTTCTCCTGTTGTTATAAATGCAATTATGATTGTGGCAATCTTAATTAGAAAATGATAAGTAGTTATCTGGAGTTTCATTTAATTTTTTAGTCGAACTGCGAATGTAAATTTAGTCACCAGACAATATAATTTAAGATTCAGCACGGTATAAATTGCATTATTTTAATATCGAACTGAGAAACAAGGTCTTTATTCTAATCTGATGGAGAAACATATATATATCCTCTTATGCTTTTACATACTTGGTTACATATAAATGAGGATATTTTCCAAGTTGAGAAAGACTCTCTCTGCCTCCTCCATCCCAGTGTACCAGAACTTTAATAGTACTATTCATAACAAGATTGATCGAGATTTGACTAAACAAGACCGCTTTTATTATATAACCCCACTATCCTAATCATTTAAACAATAATAACGATTTAGCGGCCTTAGGGATAAAAAAATGTATCAAATATTCAATAAGACTCATCATCATAAAATTTATGATGTGACGAGTCAGCAAAAGTTCTTTTCCACAAGAGGAAAATTCAGAGCTGTTTGGATAATCACACGGCACATCCGCTCGAGGGTGCAGAACAAGACTTGTCGGAGATTTAATCTCAGTCCTTCAGACGCTAGTCTCGTCTGCAGGAACCATGTATCCGGTTTAGAAAAATGACGCCACGCGCAACGTAACCGCTCTATAAAAAGGCCTGGGTGTGGTCCTGCGATTCATTGTTTCGCCAACTCTTCTCTCTTTCTACCGCTGATCACAAAGAGATGGTGCAAGTTACATGCAGCCAGTGGACTGTAGCAGCTCTGTTGTTAGTCACCGGCATTTTTATACGTAAGTGTAATTCATCACGAATGAATTATTAAATTATTTAGTAATGGGATTTTTTCTGAAAATTCTAAATTATTTCTAAATAGATGAATTAATTCGAAAAGGCTTATGAGTCATTTGAAGAATCACATCTTCTTTCAGAAGGAAATAACCACAAAAGGTTTTTTGTTTAGGCCATTTTATAGTTTATGAGATATAAATTGGAGAAGATGCGTGGTTGTTTATGACATATGTGGTCAAACAAATAATACTTTGGGGCAGTGTTAAGCGCGGTTAATAAACATTTTAATATATATATATATATATATATATATATATATATATATACAGACTTGACATTTAATATGGAATATTTCAGTTTCGAAGGTATGCCTAGGTAAAAATCCGTTCTTTTTTAAAAAAACTCCGATCTCATATAAAATTTGTGAATGGAGAAGTGTGTAGTCAGGTGTGTCGCTACCAATTAACTGACTTCCATGTCTGTTGCGCTGCTACATTATGTAATATACGGTGATTTAATTGGGTAGTGTTCCTTTGGGCTGGTCAGGGCTTGGCTTAGGCAAAGCTTGGTTCTGTCAAAAAAGTATCCGTATGTCGGCAACTACTGCATAGAAGAATTTGAAATTTTGCATGCAAGCGGTCAGTTTTGCAGTGCGTAAAATGAGCTAAGTAGTGCTTTACAAATTTGTTAATTTGTGGCAGAATGGCGCGAAAAAGACATTACCAGACAGATTATAGCGGCAAACGGAACGGTCCGCACAGTTTTATAGAGTAATGCCCAGACTGATGTACCTACACAGATGTCACACCCAATGCATCGAAATCTTACCTCCAGGGCACAGGACCCACTGTCTTTCGGGATATGCTGTTGAAACTAAACAAAAGCCACCCAGTCCGTTCAGAACGAGGGGTAAATTGCCACCAAAATGCGTTATTCAACGCCCTTAACGAACACCAAATTGATTTTAGCAGGTTAGAATATCAGATGACCTCCGAGGTACCCACTGTAAACAGCAAAACATCGTCGTCTGTTTCTCTAATGAATTGGGGGCCATGACCGTTTCTGGGTAGAACACTGAAATCACGTGGCTTTCTTTATTGAGGTCAGATTTCACCTGTACCGCCCAAGTAGTCAAAACAGAGTTTACAGGCATCCAGAAGAGGCGGCTAGCTACGACGAAGCATGTGCCGCGTCTAAAGTGCCACGGGTCATTGACAGCGTCGGTATTTGGAGTGGATACCACATTGGTGCCAAAACACTTGACTATCATTTGATAGGGGGCACCTTAAGAACAATTTTAGGTTACACGGTGAGATTGCCGGTTCACACCTCTAGCACTTTTAATAGCAGATAACTTACAGAATCAAGAGAATGAGCAGCTACCCTGGTCATCAAAATCGCCACATTTGAACCGCATAGACAATATGTGGGTAAGCCATTACTCGCCGAATCAACTGCCTACATGCCCTACATTAAAACTGGACCAAATTGGACAATTTTGGGCCGATGCCTGGAATAATATTCCAGATTGAACTCTAAAAACCTATCCCCAGGAATACCTTGCCGCTTGAGAGCGCTGGTAACAGACAGAAGAGGCCAGGCGTAACAGCGACCGTTACTATGACTAGACACTGACATGAAGGTCCTTTGTGGAGCGTATAACTTATTTACAGACGATAATTTGGAGAATATGGAGATCCAAAATATCTCTTTTAATGGATGTCGTATGACATAGAATAGGCAATGCATTTCTGTTTGCTTCAATGTCGAATTCAACCAATGAGCCGATGTCACCATGACATCAAAGAGATAATTTAAAGTTATTAAAACACGATTTTAATCCTTATTTTCATTTATCAGTCAGCAAAATAGGAAAAAAACTGATGAAAAATGACTTGGAAAAAAAAAAATTCCATATTAAATGTAAAGTCTGTATATATATATATATATATATATATATATATATATATATATATATATATGCTACCAATATAAAACAGACCACATAAATTTTTCATAACAATGTTTAACTTGAAAGGATGGAAATGCGCGGAATTAAGTAAATGTGGGTGTCAGGGAAGTAGTATGGCCGACAAACAACCAAAAAAAAAAAAAAAAAAAAAAAGGTAGTGCAAGTCACGGTTATCTTGCCTCAACGGGCTTCTCTACGGCAGAATGTTTGTCTCATAGTGTGTGGGATGTTACAAAATGTGGGAATTAAACAATGCCATGTAATAATATAATGGTGTCCCATCAAAAACATCTCAGCTTGAACTGATCCTATATGTATAGCTGATGACATAACAGCAAAATTCTGAATTTCACTAAATTTCTTGTTACAGCTGGCAAAGCGCAAGAGAATCCGTGTGGTCAATATGGACGTTGTTTGCCACCATTAACCTTCCAGCTACCGAACTTATTTGGATGCTATTTTTATAACCTGTTCGTTTTTGGAGGATCCTGCAACACCCCACCTACTACCACTTGTCAGTGCGTTTGCCTGCCTGGTTTTAAGAAGGACGCAGGTGGCATTTGTGTAGGTAGGTAGCTGATATCATGTAATTGAATATACCATACAAAAATAATAATCCTTCAGATATCTGGTGCAATATGCGTTTTTTTTTCTGCTAATGGAAAAACAAAAGAAGGAGGTAAACAATAAGCCCAGGGAAATTATCCACCTATACTTTGAACTTTCACCTTTCTTTTCCAGGAGAATAAGGAAGATAAGTTTGGACTAAATGAATATGACGATCTAGTCAGTGGGGTGTGAAGTCCATTAACTAACACATACAGACTACCTAATTTTTAAAAAGTATTTCTCTCTCTTTTTAGACATCAACGAATGTGCAATAGAATTTCCATTCGGACTACGAGTTTGCATAGGGAGAAATTGTGTGAACACTATAGGGAGCTTCTTATGTACCAATGACCAAGACGAGTGTTCCTTGGGTACTGACAACTGTGCAGAAAATGCCACATGCACAAACACTGTTGGCAGTTTCACTTGTTCTTGTTTGCCTGGTTTCACTGGTGATGGCACAACATGTGTTAATTCTGACGAGTGTTCCTTGGGTACAGACAACTGTGCAGAAAATGCAACATGTACAGACACTGTTGGCAGTTTCAGTTGTTCTTGTTTAGCTGGCTTCACTGGTGATGGCACAACATGTAATAATTTGGACGAGTGTTCCTTGGGTACAGACAACTGTGCAGAAAATGCCACATGTACAGACACTGTTGGCAGTTTTAGTTGTTCTTGTTTGGCTGGTTTTACTGGTGACGGCACAACATGTAATAATTTGGACGAGTGTTCCTTGGGTACAGACAACTGTGCAGAAAATGCCACATGTACAGACACTGTTGGCAGTTTCAGTTGTTCTTGTTTGGCTGGTTTTACTGGTGACGGCACAACATGTAATAATTTGGACGAGTGTTCCTTGGGTACAGACAACTGTGCAGAAAATGCCACATGTACAGACACTGTTGGCAGTTTCAGTTGTTCTTGTTTAGCTGGCTTCACTGGTGATGGCACAACATGTAATAATCTGGACGAGTGTTCCTTGGGTACAGACAACTGTGCAGAAAATGCCACATGTACAGACACTGTTGGCAGTTTCAGTTGTTCTTGTTTACCTGGCTTCACTGGTGATGGCACAAAATGTAATGATGTGGACGAGTGTACCTTGGGTACTGACAACTGTGCAGAAAATGCCACATGTACAGACACTGTTGGCAGTTTCAGTTGTTCTTGTTTACCTGGCTTCACTGGTGATGGCACAAAATGTAATGATGTGGACGAGTGTACCTTGGGTACTGACAACTGTGCAGAAAATGCCACATGTACAGACACTGTTGGCAGTTTCAGTTGTTCTTGTTTACCTGGCTTCACTGGTGATGGCACAAAATGTAATGATGTGGACGAGTGTACCTTGGGTACTGACAACTGTGCAGAAAATGCCACATGTACAGACACTGTTGGCAGTTTCAGTTGTTCTTGTTTAGCCGGCTTCACTGGTGATGGCACAACATGTAATAATTTGGACGAGTGTTTCTTGGGTACAGATAACTGTGCAGAAAATGCCACATGTACAGACACTGTTGGCAGTTTTAGTTGTTCTTGTTTACCTGGCTTCTCAGGTGATGGCATCATATGTGTTGATACTAGAAGTGAGTATATCTTGTAAGATGGTACTTTAAAACAATGAAAATGAAGGTCTGGAATAATTAATTTAATGTTATATCATAAATGTATAATGTACTTTGCATATTCACATTGTTTTAATATCCATCTTAACTCACATTTGTTTATCTGTAAGTGAAATATTCATTGGTGTTATTGATAAACATATGAGCCAAATAATCGTATCTGATACGATTTCTTTGTGATGGAGATTTTCACTTAATATAAATGAGATTTTAAAAATCTAATATTTTGCTGTACTTTTGTATGAGTTATATTTTCTCACGTGTTTTGTATGTTTTTCTAGCTTGCCCAGGGGGTCCACCTGGAAGCGAATTCTGGATAAAATCAAGCGATGGTACCAAATGTTTCCAGTTCTTTAGTGACCAATTAGATTATGCCGGTGCCAAGGCACAATGTGTTACAAATGTTACAGGAAGCACACTGGCTATCATATTGAGCGAATCTCAAAATTCTGACGTAGAGGCCCTCATTCCAGCTGTGTAGGTTTTTAATGTATTTTAGTAACCAACTTATGCATTACAGAGAGAGAAAGTGTGTGTGTTAAGAATGTCCTTTGAAAGATGCTGAAGTGTTAAGTAATTGTCCTTATAAAAGCTTATGGTCTCGATCATATCAAGTAAGGATATTTTAACGTATTAAAAATATACCTGCATATTTGTGTGTTATTGAGTACATTCAGAACAGCGACTAACAGACCCGTGGACCAAATATGGCGATCCACTTAAAAGCTTGCCGCTTAATTCCTGATTTGACACTAAACAGATTTCCCGTGGGGATTCCTCAACAGGGAATCAAATGAGGCGGCAATATTTGACCCGCAGATCTGTTTGTCCGGTATTCTGAATGAGTTCAATGATGGCATTAATGACACACCATTTTCTCACCAAAAATTGCATTTCACGGCCAGCAAAACAGTAATTATTCTTTCCCTGTGCATGGTTTTCAGAACAACTTCTGTCAAAAATTGGATTGGATTGGAACAGTCAACCCCTGGTACTTGGGCGTGGATGGACGGCTCCTCAACTGCAGGGTACATTAATTGGAATGGGAACAACGGCGGGACGGCGCCCTCGAATGCTGCTAAAGCTTGCGGTGCTATAAACAACAAACAAGGTAATAAGAAGTGGAAGGAGCAAACATGTAGCGAACCAGGGCAGTATATTTGTGAAGTGACTCTTAATTAAAATGTAATGGTATCGTTAAGTTGCGTTGAAAGTGGAAGCATTTGAGTTGTTGTTCCTGTCGACTTCTTTGCTGGCCTGATGAGAGATATACACATATAGCTGTTTATTGGTGTAAAAAGTACATGAATTGACGTATCAACTTTATGAGCTCAAGATTCTAAAGGTGGTTCATTGATTTTTATGACCTACCCCTGTATTTATACATTTCTATCCAAGTGGTTTATGTACACTTTTACCCCAGAAAATTGGTCCATATATTTAGACTTAGCGAAAACCCTTAGGGCTTCGTATACCATATTGCATGATTGATTCAAAATTATTTACATGTTGGTAGATACTGCAATAACAATGTTTAAACACATTCAGTATTGTCCTGATCAATGTAGTGCTCAAATTTGTGTAGTAGAGAATCAGTGAATTTGGAACAATGAACAAAACTATCAATATTTAAGTGATTTGCCCCCCCAAAAAGATTTACATTTAAAAAAGTGGAATGATCTTTTGATATTGCTCATTTTGTGACACGATAATAGCTCACTATATATTTTGCCATAATTCCCATCACTTCCCTTGCTTTGTATGTAACAGTAAATCATAAATGGACGAGACGTGCGCCAAAGCTGCTCGAGATTCTAAATTGTAAAATTGCAGAATTTGCGCTAAGATATTGGAGTGTGCATTGTATGATGAAAACGAAGCTATATATATTTTTTACAAATCTACCTGAAACCAATGCAACTCCAAATTCCGCAGTTAGCTACTGTGGAGACACAATCGATGAATCCACTTCTCTAGGTTATGGAACACTAGTCATTTCTAGTTTAAAGATGCATATGAAGTCAATTTTTGGCCACGAAGGCCAGACAAATGTGAGCATATAGTTTCACGTAGTATAATTAAGAGATTTACGAAAATTAAACAAGGCATTGTTTAAATTTAGCGGAAAAATGATATTTGAACGGATTTATCTGGTAGCATTCTATGCTGTATATCAATGGGGCAGAACAGTAGGTCACAAAAGTAGGTTAAATTTCTGACCAAAAATTTAAAGAAAGATGCAGTCTAAAACTCTTTTATGGCTGATCGAGTTATTTATTCAGTGTATACCTTGGCATGTCGAATTTATTTGAGTCGTATAAGAAACTAGTACATGTAGAGGTGGTTTATGTGTGTTACTGGGAATCCACGCTCCATCGGAGCTTGGTTCATATGTACATTTAAATAGCATGTTGCATACGGAAATGAATATTTTATTTTGACTATATATGACTAATAAATACCGTAAGTCACATATATCACATGTATTTGTGTCTTAACTTTCAAATCTCCATATGAATGAAATTTCTATTACACAGACTACGGGTGTTTTACTGGCTTCTTAGGAGTGCAGTTAGCTCCGCCCCTTCTTTTAAACCACTTCCTCGCGTATAGGATATTAAAACACCCGAAGTGTAATTTACTGCTTGTAAAGTTCTGTTTGAAAAAAAATATCACTGTAACATTTTTGCACATTGCATCTTGAATCACTTGGCAAAGAATTGCCTGACAGTTTTCAAATCATATCAGATCCGAAAGAATTGCTCTCGCATCAACTGAAGTACGAGACCCAAAGTTGGATAATTAATTAGAGTTAAAATGATTACACGTCATATATACTTCAACATTGATTATATTATGTACTCTCGTCTGCTTTCTGCTATCCGCATATGCCAGTGCCCTGTATATCTATTCACAGTAATTGGGAGAATGTGGTCACTGCATACACAGTAGAGACACAGCTACGGTCGTTCTTATTTCGCATGGATTACAGCATGCGAGGGTTTTGACAGCTTCATAAACTCGAAAGTATCTGGACGACTGATAAATAGTTTTCCATTTCAAATTCCTATTTTTATAAATACTTTTGAAATTATCAAATATGTATAAGGACAATAATTTAAAAATCTACAAACTGAGAAATCAAGAGCGGATTAGTGTATAGTCATTTTGTACACAGCTTTGATATCATTCGATCCCAAGGTGATGGGAAATGTTTCATTGGGAAATTATTTTCACGATAAACAAGGATATATAATCGTTGCATGCCTTTAATATCAAGATAGCCCAGACATTTACCTCAACATGGTTATTTTTCTTTCAAACTGTATAGGTTAATTAACTGTTATCATAAAACGAGAATTACTGTTGTCGGCACAAGGGCAAATGCATTGCTTATATGATAATTTAAACCTGTGTTCTTACCATCAAATTGTGTTAGGAGAGAGAGTGGTAACACTTGTCAGTATAGTTAACGGTGTTCCGCAATTTAGCAGCCAGTGATACGTCACAGTTTGTATAAATACGGTGATCACACGTACTGTGCGCGAATGCACCCAAACCCAATATAGACTTGCATTTCACATGCTAGAGTGTCAAAAAAAAAAAAAAAAAATAAAATAAAATTGAAGGAATTTAAAGTTGTATCCAAATTTTTAAAACATATATGTTTATAGAACAAAAATCCACGACTGTCTCAATTTAAATTCAAAGTTTAATATTTACCATGTCTTTTACATTACGCAAAGAGCCCTAAATGGTAACGTACTAGTATATTCTAAAAACGTACGATAACGCATGTTCCGGGTCATTTAATTTAAATTTTCATACCACGTTCCGTTATATATTGTAGTGGTTAAGTCATGGTAAATTAGACATGACGTAAGGATGTTTTTATAACTATTCAGACTGTAACTGAAGGGGCTTTGCATCATGGAATATACTAGGTAACGTATGTTCCCTAGAAAAATTGTCAAAATTTCTTTTTGTTCAAGTTCTTGGTGCAAGAGAAAACAATGTATTGTGATTCCACGATAATTTGACATTTCTGATAATATTTGGAGCACAAGGGGAATAATAATTAATTTGATGCCTATTTTACTGTCGGTAGGGCGTACTTCCCCGTTTGTTTTAATATTCAGCGCCAAGCAAACTAAATTTGCTCAAAGACAATTAATTGCTCTATACAGAAGATTATTATATTTTTTACAACGATATACTTGTAGGAAATAAATCAAAGAACGAATCCAGTGATGATTGAATGTTCAAAGTGAGTAAAACGTTTCATAGTTGAACGTTTTGCATTTGTGACAATGAATGTTCCTTTTTGGGGATAGAAGATGATTTTTTAAAATTATTATTCATAGTTCCAGGAAAGTGAAACATTGATACTTTGATACAATTATTATTTTCATTATTATCAGTATTATTACATCTTCTCTGTAACTACATGGAAACAACAGTTAAAGAGAATAAATGCTTTTCTTTTCTTGAGAAGCAAGCGTTTTCACGTCGTCACCTGCGTCTGTCGTCGCCGTCGTCGCCGTGCACTTTCACCACCGATAACACAATAAGTGGAAAACCATTTTACCTTTTGACTTTAAACTTACAGAACTGATGAATATTCATAAAACGCAGGTCAAGTTAGAAAATCAGCATGATTGGACCATTCTGTCGAAAGTTATGCTGTGTTTTTTCTCTTTTTTTAGCATATATTCAGCACTAATAACACATTTCAAGGAAAACTGACAGGTCTATTGTCTTGAAACTCGCAGGGGTGATCAATATTACTAAAAACACAGGTCGAGTTCGAACATCAGCATGATCAGATCATTTTTAGTAAAGCTAAGCAGTTTTTCCTGTTTTTTAGTATTTATGCAACTCCGATAACACATTTCAAGGAAAACTGATTGGTCTGTTGTCTTTAAATTCACAGGAATGAACTATTAACTTACCTATTTGTATGGGTATGCTGATGACCAGAAACAGAGATGCCACAGTCCACTTGCTGCATCAAACTTGCACTATTATTTTGAGCTCAGTTGGTAGATCTACGAAGGATTGGCGAAACAATGGGCCCTCTCCCTGTCGGCCCACACCCAAGTCTTTTAAAAGAACATGCAAATCCGTTGAACTTAAAGTTCTCCAATGCAAACCTTTGACTAATGCCACCTTTTTAGTTCTTAGAAATATTGATTCTAGATACACTGCATTTCAGGTTTTTACGCATCTCTTCTATTACTCAAATCTTGAATGAAAAAGACAAAATTAAATAAAAAAATAATGTACACACACTGGACAATAGAAGTGTCACCCCCTGATTCAGAGTAATCAAAGTTATTGACCTGAAAAGGCGGAATATAAGCAATGTAAAAATATCGATACAGATGAAATGTTCATGCAGAACCGTTTCTTTTGTGAATTTTGATGTTAATAATATGATACCAGTATCATATCATTCCACAGTCATTTATCTCCCCCAAAGTACTGGTTCAGTAGAGGTGACACTACTAGTGTTCAGTGTGTGTAAGTTATACAAAAATATATGGTACAATGGCCATCGGCTGTCGCATTAAGGGTGTTGTTTTCTTCACTGTATTTAAATGATAAATCTTACTTACGCAAAAAACATCAATAAATCAAACCTGGGATGATGGATAATCCTACGTCATGACAGGACAGGACACTCTATAATAGTCAACGGTTACATTTCGGTCAATCGCCTGGAAGGTGTCTTTTATACACAATAAATAAATCCCCATGATGCATGTTTTTTTCGCCGAAAACAACAATGCATCAAACTTATGATGTTTCACACTTTTTGCCTGCCGTGGCATGACAGGACAGCTCCTCTTGTAAGCAACATTTCATTGATTAGTGATGGGGTGGCTTCGTTTAACTACAAGTCACTGAAATCATATTTATGCCTTCAATTAACAATTAATGCAGTAGATTACGCTGTTCGTTTGCATCGAAAATGTGTCTTGTTTAACTTGCAAAATGTCAACACAATTTGAGTAATTGTGTAAAAAAATTAGTGGACTTACTTTATTTAAATTAGAATAGAGATATTGTGGATGATTTCAGAAATGAAACCCATCTCTCCCGCTACACGATAAATGGTTATATGTCTCTGAATCCTTGCTAAACAATACGCCAGCATATGAATGACACAAAGTTACTTTAAATGATTATAGGCCTATCATAACATAATTATATATATATATTTTAGTAGGCAAGTTGTTTTTATCACCAGGAAATACAACGGACGCTAAAAAAGATTACTATCCATAAACTCGTTTGTGTTTTTTAACAATTCTTCGGTGATTTCAATGGTAAAATTAGGAAATCTTCCGTTAATCTTCTGAAAAAGGGTTAAATCATCATTAGCCCAACAGTTATGGATGACACGTAATTTGGTTATCATGAAACAATTGCTAAATATCCAGGATTTCACTTTGCTATATACTGCTGGTGCTGCTTCTACTACTACAACTACTACAACAATCTGTTATCCAATTTTGCACCAGCTAGAATGGAGAGAGAAAAAAGATCATGGAGGGTACACATTTTTTCTGCTCACAACTGCTTTCACTTTTTTCCAGTGAGTCGTAATCATTTTTCTTGTTTTATAATTTTCATTTTTCTTTGTTTGTATAGTTTTTTCACTCACTGGTTTTTTTGTTGTGAAAAATATTTTAAAAAATACTTCAAATATCTTTCTGATCGAAGGCGAGACACAAGCACAGTCTTGCGGGTTTATATGATTATTAACGTTTTTGTAAACTGCTGTAAGATATGGTTGGTGCGAACACCGCCCATCACGACGATTAACGGCCCAAAATAACTACCACAAATGTGACAATTCATTAAATATCATTACATCACATTTTAAGCGGCATAAAACGCGTCTTTTTGCGAAATATAATAATAATAATAATAATTTATTGAGCACAGGAATGTTTTTTCATTTAAAGGCTCTCGATCTACCTTATATTATACATATGGAAATATAGTAATAATAGTCAATAAATAAATAAAAAAATTACCTATATAATGTTATACAATATAATTTCTAATATTATACAAGTAAAATCATTTGTACATTTCTAGTTAATTACCTTTTTTCATAATTTTACTTACAAAATCCCCTACTGCATTTGCACTCTGTGCTAAGGGTGGATTAA